CTCTTTCCTCTCCCTCCCAGTCAGCCCTGGCTGGTGTTGCTCACTGGTTAAAGTGTCAGTCCGAGCACCAAAGGGTAATGGGTTCAATTCCCAGTCAAGGGCAAGACCCTGGTCAGGGTGCATGCGGCAACAAATCAATGTTTCTCTCTCACATCAATGCTTCTTTCTCTGTCTCCCCCTCCCTCCTCTAAAATCAATAAAAACATATCTTCAGGTGAGGATTAAAAAAAACAGGATAGATCTAGAAATCTACCTGAAACCATAAGTATGTTTATCAATATGTGAACTGCACACCACCTACTTCAGAATTAACTAAAGAGTGTATTTAAAATTTACATGTTGGATTTGCATGTGTTCAGTCTCAGGTGGCACCCAGGAGTCTGACTTTGTACAAGCACCCCAGTCCTGAGATGATTCTAATATAGCCATTAATGGGGTTCCTCCCTTTGAGGATAGGCAATGTGGTCATTTCACAGCCAGACTTAACTTCTGTATTTTACCTATTCACCCAGGCAGAGACAGGTCCAATTTAAAGTGGGTTTAGTTTTTGATTCCTTGCATCCATGTTTAGTTGGGCGACCCAGAATACATCTGTGCTTTTGGGTCATTCAATTCTGTGGTTACAGGTTGATGCTTCATAATGATAAATATCTACCTCATTAGTTTGCAGTTTATGGTTGCTCAGTGTACATCTTCATTTAGCTAATGTCTTAGTGGGTTATTTCCTCTTGGCTCCCTACTGAGTATCAGTGTAATGTACCTGATCAGTGCCCAGTAAGTAATTTTTGATTGACTATTATAATGCATTAATTAGAACATCATCAACTAGGCCTAGCAGATTGTCTGTGACTGAACTGAACAATCATTTACTTTAACCCACTAGGCATCTTAGTTAAGGCAATAATTTGACTAATTTTTAGCTCTCAAAAAATTATTTGATGACATGTGACCAAGTGATCCTTACCCCAGGTAATTAATATAACTTCTGACCTTGCCTGCTCTTAAATTCAGGGAGTAAACATATTGTCAGGAGGATATAACTCATTATGCACTCTTACACAGAATAAAAATAGTATCACGAGAGTGGTATAGTCACAGCATTTAGACACTGGAAACATTAGCTGCAGAAAATGCTGATAGACTGACGTGTTCAATGAACTACACATTTTAGTCCGTCTAGGGAAAACCACAATTGAAATGTAAATTGTTATTTTGCACCAGTGAAAAATGAGCCCAAATGCAAATTGTCTTTTAAAAACATTGAGATCAAGAAAAGGCATTAGACCTATGTTTTCTAGCCGGTGTTCATACCCTGCAAACAACAGAATCTTAAATATGAGGCACAATTTAAGAGATTATTCATCCCTTAGCCTAGACTATAACTAGGCTGTTTCTTAAACTATTCCAACCATTGCTATAGACAAAAGAAATGTATGACCTCTGAGGTAACCTTCTCCACAAGATAAACTGATAATTTCTTGCACAGCTTGTCTTTTTTCATCATTTTCATGCTACTCCAGTTAATGCAGCCAGCCTTGCAGTTCAGAATATTCAAATATGCTATTGGTTTTTGGGGCACAATGATGGGTCTTGAATTCACCCCCACAGAGGTGAAGTAACATTAAATTTGTCACTGCCTTGTCTAAGTCAGCAAGATGGCACTGTATAATACCTTTAGAAATACTAAGTCAAGAAGTCCACGGGGACGAAGGTGAAAAGAAGGTCAGCTACTGACAGAAAATCAGGCTCCAGATGTGATGATCCTTTGTCAGAGGCTTTGTAGCCTGCAAGTCAGCACAATGTTCAATAGAATCCACCCCTAGCTGAAGCCAGACACGTTGACAGTCAGCCCCACCTGCACACCAATAGGTGAGCCATCAGCTTCACCTCCCTAAGAGACACAGAGCAGATCTTTTTATAAAAATGACTTAAAGCTCAAAATGGCCTCTTTTATGTTCTACTCCCCTCACCCCAAAGTGTTGACCTGTCTTGTAATGTCTGAAGAATCCATGAATATATTATAAGTTAGAGAAAAAAAATTAACCTTTGGTAGCTAGAGTACTGAAAACTTTACTTTGAAGAACATCAGAAAACTCAGTCTACCATTTCTTGAGAAACTGGAGTAAAAAACCCTTCAGTTTTCCTAGAAACAAACATAGTGACAACTCTTCAAATAACCTTTTCCCTCAATATAACATTTACTATAATTAGCTTAAACTAGAATGAATGAAGTGAAGCAGAAATTGGAACTTCTAACTTTACCTTTGCCTTCTGTTATGTAGGTAGAATTCATGGTAATAGAGTCAATTAATCTTGATATGCTTCAATTAATACAATATAAATATTTCCCAAAGACTTCCATGTTGCCTAGAGGAATTAAGACGTGAAACATTTAATGCATTTTTAAAGCTTAGATGAGATGTATAATAACTGTAATATCTGACACACTGGTCCTTATTTTAGAAAAGAGAATTCCCAAACTAGATAAGAAGTGGGATTCCAAAGGGCAGAATCTAGGAAATTGTTCATGATGAAATATTACGTTAGAAGTTAGAAAAATAACTTCAACTGTGCTCATTGTGGAAATTAACTTGTCACATAATTATTTATGGGAAATTACATGATGACAACTAATGCCTTCAGTTACCAACAATTTGAGTTTATAAATGAGGATTATGAGGGGGGTAGGGAATCATTAGGTTAGGTTTGGGCAAAGAAAGGAAAAAAAATAATGTCCATTAAACCTAAAAAGTGGTCAGATGCATGCACTTCAAACGAATGGTGTTGGGAGGCACATCCTCTACAGGCTCCCATGCAGTCTCTGAAAATTCTAGCTGAGCAGCCAGCTTGAAGGCCGATCCATCTCCTGACGCTGAGCAGTTTCTGTTGCTAGTCATGGAAGCAACCCAGTAGATCGAGGTGCCCGCAGTGTAACTGTCAGCAACTGCCTACTCCCCAGGGGACATTAGGAATGGAGGGTGGCTTGTTTGCTTCTTACTGCAATTTTTGCTGCTTGTTGGGCCCGTGGCCCTAGGCTCCTCCCTGTACTGCAGCCCACTCTTTGGGCAGCATCCATGTCAGCCACCGCATCACCCTATGGACTTGGAGAGATAGGGACCTAGCACCAACACGCTAACTTCTGGCGACTGCTTTTTCTGTGAGTTACAATAAAGCCGTTCATCTCTGAAAAAGAAGAGTGATCAGATGTCCTTCCAACCTCCCAACACTCAGGATTGAAATGCCATCATCTTTGACTGCTGTCTTAATGATTGTCCCGAACATCCCATCTGTTTCCAAAGCCCATCATCTTCACCTCTGAAGGTTTCTGCACCTTCATTTTACTAGCACAAACCTAACCCTGGGCCTCATCATCTCACTTAATCTATTGAAACAGACTCCGAACTAGCCTACCCCTGCCCCAGGTTTCCATTTTATTCTATTTCCTGCATCTGCTCATGTTACTTCTCCTGTTTATCATACCAAGTGCTCCTCATTATTAATGCAGTAAGTCTGAGCTCTTTGCTCTGCATTCAAAACCATCTATGTGGGCCCTCAAAGTTATGATGTAATAACATTCAATTCTATAACTGAGCACTGAGTGTCTGCTATGCACCAGGTATATGTTACTAGATGTTCTGAATGATTCTCAAATAAAGAGGACACCCTTCTCAAAGAGTTTGTAGTTGCCACTTCTTATAGTGGCTATTATGATGGTTTCCAGGCTCTGAATGCTTCAGACAGGACACATGTTCCCTCTGCTCCAGTCCTCATGGAATACCTGCTTTTCTTCATGACTTCCCCACCATCACTCATATAGTCCCAGGCCTGGAATGGTTTCTTTTTCTTTTTTATATATTTTTTATTGATTTCAGAGAGGAAGGGAGAAGGAGAGAAAAATAGAAACATTAATGATGAGAGAGAATCATGGATCGGCTGCCTCCTGCATGCTCCCTACTAGGGATCAAGCCCACAACCTGGGCAAGTGCCCTGACTGGGAATCAAACTGTGACCTCTGGTTCATGGGTCAGCACTCAACCACTGAGCCACACCGGCCTGGCTGGAATGGTTTCTTTAGCCAACTTTCTTTAACAGATATTTATTGCTTACCCCAAAGCAGTGGTCAATGTCACATCAATTCTCTTCTTTCTGAGAACAAATGTAAAATGCATCTGGTAATATAAAAAGAATAAAGTAGGTTAAGAGGTCAAACTGACTGTTCATTCTTGAATGATGAAATTTCTGTGCTCCCCACCACTGTATGGACTGTATGCTAGAACCTGTTCTGCAGTGAGGAGGGGGAGATGAGGAGTGAAGGGACTAAAACCATTCAAAACACATGGTTGAGAACAACAATCATGATGATGGCTAATATTTATTAAGTGCTCAACATATAATCAGTATCCATTTAAAACCTTACACCGATTAATTGAGATACTATTATTCCCATGTATTGATACTTGAGACATGAGGGAGGTTAAGTTGTCAACATTTGCAATGATAATATATGGCAGATCCAACTGAACCAAGGCAGTTTAGTTCTAAGGCCTACTAGTAAACCAATCACCATTCCATGATTTGACCCACAGGATACCAAGGTGCTCTTAACAAAAGATGGAATAAATGAGTGATGGTTAGATGTCCAACAGATTTCCATGTCAATTACCTCCCTGCCGCCAATCTCCTCTCCTATAAATCCATCCTCCAAAAATACATGGGTGATTTATTCAACATGAAAGTCCAACTTTGTCATTATTCTGACTAAACAATTCAATGGCTCCCACTACTGGAGAGAGAAACCATCATTATACATTGCTTTGCAATGAAATTTATGAGGTGGTATGTCAGTTTAAGAAATCTTCTACACCACAACTAAACACCTGGTATAGAAGGAAAAGTTTATTTTGTGAGTTGTTGTATTAGCCATTATGAAGAGAATCCTTATTGGATGTCATTGACAGACGGTTGCATGAATATTTAGTTTTTATGCCCAGAAATCTGCCTTTGGGAGGCATTACAACAAAGTCAGGGAAGCTCCCAGGGGGAGGAGCAAAAGGAAGAATGGTTAAACACAAGGGCTTTGGAGCCAGAGTTTGCAGGACTGAGCTCCAGCTGCCTTGCCTACAGCAACCTCAAGTGCAATTGGAGGAAAACATCTTCGTCGTGGGATTGCTGTGAGGACTGAATGAGGTAACGTATTAAAGAGCTTAAAACAATGTCCACATAGAAATTTCTAATAAAGTGATAATATTTATATATCATTAAAGTTTTCATTGTTCTATAGTTATATTTATAGTACTTTACATAGTAATATGTGAATGTAGTTTTCAAAAATAAGAAATATAAGAGAATATGGGAAAAATAAAAGATGATCTTCTCCTAGGGAAAGCATTGCTAAGATTTCTCATTTGCCCTTCTAGAATTTTCTGTGTATATAAAAATATACACGTGCTTTTATTTAAAATAAAAACATAAAGGATAGCATTTATGGTAGTTTTTCACCTTGCCTTATTTTCTGTGAAGATTGTTCCATAGACCTACTGAATTATCTTTAATGGCTATGCAGTATGTCAACATGTAAATGTGGTAAACTTACTTAACAAGTTCTCTATTGGTAGACATGTATGTTATTTTCAGTCATTCTCTGTGACAAAATTCATTTCCATGAATATGCTTGTATGATTATTTCTATAGAATCCATTTCCAGAAGTGGAATTGCTAGGTACATTGTATATGCATTTGAAAGTTTTATAGCCCTTGTTCAACTGCCTTCTGAAGAGGCTGAGAGAATTTATATTCCTACTCAGTTGTAATATAGAGAAGTTATTTAAATATATATTCTATAAGCCACTCAATTTTCTTAGGCCAATTTTCTCTCTGTCCCAGAAAACCCCAAGCTATGTTCCTGCCTCCTTGCCTATAATCTTGTTTTATTCTGAACCTGGAATTACCCCCTTTTTTTCATTTGTCTGTCTCCAAGGGTGGGGAACCTTTTTTTCTGGCAAGGGCCATTTGGATATTTATAGCATCATTCACGGGCCATAAAAAATTATCAACTTAAAAATTAGCCTGATATATTTGGTCAAACATTTAATTAATTCAGCCCTAATGCCTTTGCAGGGGCAGACCAAATGATTTCTCAGACCTTACATGGCCCTGATTCTAAGCCCTACCCATCTGCATTAGTAGAACATATTCAACTGCAAGTAAAACTCAAATGAAACTAGCTGAAGGAAAATTAAAAGGGGAATTGAGGATAGTTATTGAAAGGGTTCTAGGTGATCATAGAATTGAAAGATGAGCTACAGATTCCACAGCAGTTCTAAGGACCTAGGACTGGAACCCACACATACCCCTTCCAATTCCCTATTTCCAACTCTTCATATCTATATATGACCTAATTATCATATGTGCTAGATTGATAGGTCCCAAAGCTGTCAAAAATGTGAAAGTTTACATAAAAGTTATCAAATTATAAACATGAAATGTGTTTTGCACTGGCAACGTCTGGCTGTCCCTACTTTTGTTGTTGTCTCATGCGGCATTACATGGAATTCAATGAAGATCAGAAAGCACTGGCTGAATGTCCAGAAAAATCATTCCTCCCAAATACCAGGGATTCAAAATTCCACTGTTATTCTTTATAATTATATCATTTAAGTGGAAATTGTCCAGCAACAATTCTGGGCCATCTCTTCCCTACCTCCCTGACTAGAATGCTTTGGAAGTGCCCCTTCCTCGCGCTCTCCGTGGTCCTGAACCACCCCCTAGTAGTGCCTCTTGTAGTGGCAGAGAAAATGTGATGGGGTGGGAGGGCAAGGATTAGGGAAGCTGTTCAGGGAACAAAGAAAATATTTTATTCTTAAACCTTTATTTTTCAGTACTCTCAGTTACCAACAACAACAAACCAAAAACAACACAATCAACCTTGGCCAACAGAGAGACCAAGCAATTTTGTGGGAAGCAAAGGTCCCTGTGCACAAACAAGGTCAGTTGAGGGAGTGGACAGGTCACCACCGGGCAGAGACAGAATGGGTCATCTGCCATTTGCAGTTGACATGCAAAAAATTGTACATGGATTTTATTTATTGTAACATATCATGATGGAAAAATTTCTAAACTAAAGCAATAATAAAATCTCACCGTTCATAGAGACATGCTTAAGTATATTTTGTAGTTCTAGAAATATTCCAAGAGTTACAGTTTTCACTCTTTGGCAAATTGAGTATCTACTAATGATGTAGCCATTTCTATTTTACATAATTATGCTGTTGGGTGTTGATTTATTTTATATAAGATTTTATTTCTTGTTTTCTAGCTTAAGACTAAGTGGGTAGTATGGATATTTGTCCTTTGAATGCACTAAGCTACTTTCCATTCACAGAGTTTAAGAAAAAAACAGCTCTTCACACTTGTCAGAAGAGAGATTTGATACCTGTGATTGAAAAGAGAGAAGTCCCAATGCAAGGATGCCTCAGGTAAGTAGAGCTTTTATTGCTGCTCTTCTCATTGTATGTATACATGTAACACTAAAATGTACAGACCCTGCTTGTGTGTCACAGCACCATCTTACTCTGCCTTTGGATTAATCTGTCATTTAGAGCTCTGCTACTGAGGGTGGTCCCTACCCCCACCCAGCAGATTCAGCATCACCTGACGTGTGTTAAAAATGCAGACCCTCAGCCTGCCCTAGATCTTGGGAATCAGAATCTGAATGTTAACAAGATCTGCAGATCTAAGAAGCATTGACCGAGCAGATTCTCAAGCCAAATGTGACATCCTAGCTCACTTTTAATTTCATTATTTCACATTTTTTAATCTAAAAGCAAGAAAAAATTAATTACAAGGGGAAACAAGGTTATCAGAGGGAAAGGCATCTTTGGGCTCTCCTATTGTACTGTCTGTGATCAATGATTTTAAATCAGAAGGAAGTTGATTGTTGTGGGGTCTCATTTGCCTTGTGCCTACTTTTCTCATCCAAGAGATCACAGCACTCTGTATTATCTGGTCTTACATCTTCACTGGAAGCTTCCTGTGGGCAGGGCCATGTCTTAGATATCTAAATCCTCAGTGCCTCACCTAATGCCTAACACAAGAAGGTGCTCCAAAACACTGGAATGGCAACACATAAGCAAATAGATAACCAATCACTTACCTGGGTGACATCAACCCTTCAAGTTCAAGCTTACAACTCCTCTCCTTCATAAATATTTCTTCAGTTATTTCATCCACCATGCTCTCCACCTGCGTAAGTAAATATCACTTATTTGAGATTTAACACACACACACACACACACACACACACGCACACAAATGACTTTAATTATCAATTATCTTTATTTTGTATCTCTCTTATTACCCCCATCCAAGCTGTAAAAAGGTTCTCTTTTGATATATTTTATATTGCCTTGCAGAGTAGGCATTCGAATATTTGTTATGCTTGAACTATCTTAAAATAAAAATAGACATTAACATGAGAAAATCTACAAGCTTTGATTTTCCTTCAAGCATAATTCTCAATTGCCAAAATTAATTCTAGAGATGACAATATTTAAACAGCTCCTCCAGCTGTGACCTATTTATCTTAAGTAAAGCATCTGTTTTGATATATGAAATACTTTCTAATTTTTAAATGGTTGGTTACATCTTTAGCAAACTCAATTCTTATTTCTGTTATGACAGTAGTTTATGTTTCTCTATGTTGACCATAGTTAAATTGGTTAATGAAAGTTTATATCTAGAGATCATTTTAAAGATAATATGTAATAATTTATAAAGTTTGCATGATGTCCCTGATAGCACCACACAGACCAATATTTCCATTTTGAAACTAACTGTAGAGATATTGCTCAATAGTGCACCCGTGGCATGGACGGTTTTAATGCCTGGAATTATAACTACATTTGTGAATATCAACATAGCTGCTCCAGGGTACACCCTTAGTCTATTACACAAATCATCTCGAAGTGTCCTATAGATGGCAGCATTGAGCAATATATTTGGTACTAGGTGGCATTTTGGTTTCTGTAAATTTTCAGTTAGGAGTAAATTTTTCAAATAGTGTATATCATTATAGTATACCACAAGACTAATTTAGTGTAAGGTGACAGGATGATACTTGTACTTGCTTAAATTACTTCACTTAGATTCCACAAAAACATCTCTTCCTATTTGTATATAAAACGCAGCAATGTTTATTTCCAGAATTATCACAACCCATTAATAAAAAAAAAATGTAGAGAACAAATGGATCTACTATTGTACAATTATAATAAATATTAACCACCTTTAACACTGATAGTAAAACATCAGCAACCAGGAAGAAATGGCAATACCTAGTATCTGATGATCAGTGATTATCTTCCACACGAAACCCATTGGTCTGACCAGAATTTGTCATAGCAATCCGGCTTATTTCATGATTTCTAGCCAATATGTTAGCCACTGACGTTGAGTTTTTAAAGCAGAAACCCTTTCCCACTGAGACATTTTTTAAAAAGCTTTTATAATAATTTTTCTTATATGATCAAAATCCTAACCTTTCTGTGAAGGTTATTGTAGAATATTTGAAAATTAAATTGATCTTCCTGCCCTCTCCTTTTAGGAAAGAGTTCAATATTTTGTTTTCCATAGAGGTGTGTTCATTTTATTTAGCTGATCTTTCTTTCTTTTTTTGGAGGGGGGGGGGTGTCATTTAAAAAGTAAAATTCTTGGGATTTAGATCGTCTTCCTATAAAATATGAAGTGACCCCACCCTGCGCTAAACGTCAAAACCGTAAAAAGCCCTTTGGCCTTAGATTACATTGTTACTAGTAAACAACCCTTTATCTTTTTTCTTGCCAAGGCTGAAACCCCATTCAGTTACACTTTACTACTAACTTCATGCTTCCCTGCTCCGCCCACCCCTCCCCTGCTCCGCATGAAGCAAGCTATACCCTCCGAATCTCGGCCACTGTTATTGCCGCCTATTACCAGTTCCAAATACGTATATGCTATTTATAGCTCTGCCATAGTGGGCACGTGTGCCCATGTAGCCAAGCTGTCAGAAGGAAAGAGGGCGGGCTTTCAATGCAACAGTGTGTACACAAATTACAGATTAACCAGGTTCAGATGAGGCTGCATGATGGCAGGGAACAAAAAGGTGAACGGAGAAATGAGAAGCTCCCGGGCTTCGCTTGGGGAGCGCCCTTTTGCAGATGCCGAGTCCCCGGAATTCACGTATCACACGCTGCTGAATGGCGTTTACAGTTCTTTTTTTTTTAAATTTTTCCCCTACGCTTTGCAACCTACCTTGGTACCCCTACCATCTCTCCCCACCTCCCCTCCTGTCAGGCAAAACTTGAAAGACAGGGAACCCCACCAATCAGCAGGCTTCTCCGAGAAACTCCCCCCGCCCCTCACCCTGCCTGAAGGCCCAGCGCCTCGATGCTGCGTTTTCCCCGCCAGCATCCCGCAGTGCCTGAGAGTTGGCAGCAGACCAGGGTCTCCCGCGGAAAGAGGAGACGGAAACCCCGAGCGGACCAGGAATGGGGTGTAAAAATAAGACAGCATTAAACCGAAGGCCAAACGTCATCTGCGTAGGGTCTTTCATGCCCGTGGGGCAAGTAGGGGACAAGCTGCCCGTTTACAGGTCAGCTTAAAAATACATAGAAACTTCGGGGAGCGTTTGCTTGTGGTGACTGATCCCGCAAGGTCAACCAAGAGTCTCTCGAAGTAGACCCAGGCTGCTGACCTGTTCTCGCGAAGTGCCCATGTTCCTGTACAGTCGAGCTGGCACCATCCTTGTTTCCTCCCCATTATCCCTGCGGTCAAGGGTAAAGATTTTATGGGGTAGTTCAATGGGTGTGGAAGATATGTGTGAAACAAACACTTCAGCCAGTATTTACACAGTAGGCCTCGGGAGTCCTCTGTAGGTCCCTAACATATTTTTTTTAAAAATCGCAAATAGATTTCGGAATATGATAAGGGGCATCTCATTTTCTCCCCTTGCCTTCACCTCTAAATGTGAATCCCCGCCCCTCGCTAGGATGGGGGAAGAGGAGAAGCCGAGATATTTAAATGTTCTTCCTAATTAATCAGCAGCTAACCTCACTGCGACGGGCACAGGGTGCTTCCCAGGAATTCCCTCTTCCCCTTTTTGGAGTGACCAGAAGGCCCCATCTCTGCCCTTGGGCGACCCTCTGCTCCTTCCAGATACCTCCCTGCAGCAAATGCGGTGTTTGCGAGGAGCAGGCTGGCCCACAAGTTCCTTAGAAAATCGTATAAAAATCCAGATCTCACCACAGCCTATCACCCCGAAACTGAAATGCAGCTTTTCTATTCCCTGGAGAAGAAAGCCCTGACTAGAAACCTACCTCCCGAGGGGTTCATTTTACCTGTTAGGTAAGATGCAGCCCGGCTCCGGCGCCCCCTCCTCTCCCGGCGGCCCTCCCACTCCGGGCTCTCTAGCCGCAGTGC